TATTATATATATATATATATATATATATATATATATATATAATCTAATATATATAATCTAAATATTTATATATATATATACAAATATTTAGATTAATTTTATAATTTTTTATTAATATATGTTTTGGAGATGTGCACACATTTACAGCAAAGTATTATAATATATTTTTACAAAAATGTATTTCCACATTTGCCATGCGCGTAACTTGTAACTACTTAATTAACTTACTCGTTCATATAAAATACTTCTAAATGACCGATTCAAATACAGCACTTAATTGTGACAATTAAGCAATTATGGGAATAGACGTATATAATGTTTGTAATATTGTACATAATCTCGAAAAATTTAGCTACTTTTTTTCTAAAATATAATACAAAAATATTTATTAATATTTTTATTAAACTTATTTAAAGTACTAAAAATATTTTAGTTTTTAATGGTAGTATATGCATGATTGTTCTATACTTTTATATCGATAATTCTTCGATAATCGACAGTAGATATTCGATAATATCGGAGTACGCAAACGAATTTACTCCGAGTTGCTTATTTTTGAGACACCCGATATAAGTCAAACGCGAGGGGTACCACAGCACGGTCAGTTGTGTCATTATAGGCGTGGACATTCAGAACATATTAAGAGTGTGTTTGGAGTCGTTGAATCTTGTGAAGAGTTTTCTCTGAACAACAACGTATTTTGCTTTCTTCTCGAAATGGCCATAGGAAACCGTTTTTGTTTTCTCGTAGTTGTACTACTCTTCTTCTTCTACGCCCAAGAAGGTATATTAAATCGGATACTTTAAAAATACTTAGTTGTAAGTTAATTTTTATATTATCCTCTAAATAACCTTTTGTAAGCTCGATATCAAAAACACAGATATTTTATGCATGTATAACATATCGGCGCTCTTATAGCATTTTGCGTAATAATATTGATAAAAGTTTTATTTCACAAACATATTTCTAACCTTCATTTTACAGAAGCAAGTATAGTATTAAGTAATATTTAAATAAACATAGCATTTAGAATAAAAAAGTATATATATTGCAATTAGGAATATCATTCTGATTTTATAAGTCTTGCTATCATATTTTTTTAGGCCTTTCTATCAAATGTTGGGTCTGTAGATCAGACTCGGATCCGAAGTGTGCGGATCCGTTTGACAATTCTACTGTACCCATCACAGACTGTAACCAGGAACCTCGACTAAATTTCTCTAAAAAATATCAAGATGTAAAAGCAACGATGTGTCGTAAAATTCGGCAAAAAGGTGCATAGTGTTATAATGTTTTGTATATAGCTGTAACAAAAATATGAATTTGTCTCATCAACTTTACTATTATATTATTGTATTTCTACAAATGTTTAATTTGTTTGCAGTTCATGGTGAATGGAGATACTTTCGTAGTTGCGCTTATATGGGAGAACCAGGGATTGGTGGTGACGAGCGGTTCTGTTTAATGAGAACTGGAACGTATAATATATTTATGGAGTACTGTACTTGTAATAGTAAAGACGGTTGTAATTCGGCACCATATCAATATGGAAATTGGATGCTTTTGTTAATCGGTTTGATAACAACCGTTCGATACGCATTGGTCACGGTCATTTAAGAAACTAGCCAAAGATTTCTTTATCGATTCAGACAGATCTGATTTATTTGATATATATAATCTAGATTTCTCAATAAGTGTCTTTACAATTCAAAAGATTTGCTTGTACTTATTTAAGATTTTTTATTTTTTTTTATTTTTACACATCGAATTTCAGGGAAGTCATAAATTCCATTAATCAAACGTATCAATAGAAATACTATAGTTTTTACAATTTTACAATTTTATTATAAAATCAAATGCCTTTTTATATTTTGTTTTATAAGGATTAATAATAAAAAATTTTAATATTAGATTTTATAAGAAGCAATAACTTCCAGTAAATTAACAATTTACTTTGGCTTAAGTACATATCAACAACAAATAAATTACATATTTTATATAAATATTTTTACTATAGCTATTATATTAAAAATATATTTGTGCTGTATTTTTTGCATTATATAGTACAAATTTTAAAAATCGTGCTAACGTCGAAATATATATAGTCGAAATAGTTTTAAAAATTATTATAACAATCCAAGATATTAACGATAAGATTGCTAAAGCCGTCCAACGAATACAATCAACTTAGTTATAGTACGGCGTTTTGCCGTTTTATATTTTTGTACATATTTTTCTTAATAATATTCAGCCTGTCACTGCCGCGTGTGACACGAACACGATTCATAATCTTTATCTCACTGATGTACTTCATTTACATAAAGCACAATGCCAATAAATATGTCAAAATGTTTAAAATTGATTAAAAATTTGTTACATAAAAGAATGTATGAAATACAGATAATAAAATGACTTCTGAATCGAATATTATTGCTTTGATGAACATGAAACCTGTGACAAATGTAATACATTTAATGATTTTTTTATTGTGATAGGGAAAGAATAAAAAATAATAGAATTTGTTTATAAATAATATTTATGATGTTTTTGGTGTCAACAGTTATATATAAACATACAGACATTCATTAAAATGCTATCAGTGTACAAGTTATTAAAAGAAATACAGAAATGATATAGAAAAACTCTCAAATTACTTAAATACATGTAACTGTGTAAAAGTTTAAAAGATCCTTAGATATATTTTCATAGTATTTTTATATTCGGCCGTAAATATAATTTAAAAACACTTAATATTTTCATAAAATGTGTTTTCATTATAAAGATATTTTATCCTATGTTGTGTATCGCAATATTTTCCCATTAAATACTTTACATTATCAAATAAAAATTATAATAAAAAAATATTTCGATTTATCACAATCTGAAATGGCTTTTACTTTTATTAATACCGACTCCGAATATTTGTTTTACTAATACCGACTTTGAATATTTGTTTTGCGCTTGCTTCATTTCTAGCTAGCGCAATAATAAAAATGAGCATTTAACGTAGGCATAAAATTAGTCAAATATATGTTGTATTCATTATCAAAATATATTATTTTTAAAGATACGCTTTTATATTCGATAATATAATATAATCCTTTAACTTCCATAACATAGCGAGCTCGTATTCTCGCAGTCTTACAAATATGATATGTTGTACTTGTAGCATTGTGATTATTTTTGTTTTAAATATCTCTGCATTAGGTGAATAATTCTTACTTACTTTACGGACGGTTACATTGATCGAATTTGGGGTAGAATTCTCTCCTCCGAGAATTAAGGACGGTTGAAATTGGCAAAGAATTTGTCATTTACAGGATTTATGTCACGTTATGCGCAGTAAGAAAAGTGCACGTATATAACGATACTCGAAATACATATTCGCGTACATACCTATTGCATTCTTTGAGACGGGGAGGGAGAAACGGCTTTATCGATTCATGTCTTAAATATTTATGACGCATGTACAGCGCTCTCATTTTCATTGCGATGTTTCTACATATTGTAGAGAAAACGCCATGCAACGGCTGTGGTTTTCACAGTGTTGAATAAGTTACTGACTCCTCAAATCGACTCCGCGTTATTTTTATTCAAACGCTTGCCACTTCGTTATCTGTTGTCCCGGTTTCGCTAATGCCTGCTTCCATTGTTCACCGTACGTTCCACCAACGTCAGGCCCGATTACAAAGTGACCTACGGGTATCTTCTTACCTGAAATATAAACGATATCACGATAAGAACATATATCTCCAATATTTCATACATCGCAGAGATAAAACTTTTATTGCTTACCTATTTTATTCTTTGAGACGAATTTTATAACAAAGCTCACGTCATTGAGCGCTCCTTTGTACGGATTGTCAGCAACGACTCTCGCCGTTTCTGGCGAGAATTTCGTGGATACCGTCGGTGTGAATCGATCGCTTTTCCAAAAGTGCGTTACTCTTCCATTGTCAACGACTGACATTTTTATATACATTTGTCCTTTCAAACCTTCATGCTCGTGCATCGTCTGAAGCGAACATCTCAGACGATTCAGAGACAATATCAATTGCCCGCCGCTATCCTCATCTTTCTCACCTTTCGATAAACATAACGACAATTCGACTTGTCCCTTTTTGTTCTCTTTCTGAAAAGATATTGGGTCTTGTTTAGTAAATTTAGTCATACGTTATAAATATATTTATGATTAAAAATCACGGACATTTTAATTAAAAAAAGAAGCGAAAAAATCATTTTGTTAGAAATAGCGAGGTAGAATTATTAAATAACTTCAATTACTTATACGAAGATCTCTCTCTCTCTCATCAGCTCGCATGTGAATGTTTCAATAATACTCATTCTTCCACTCAGAAATGACACAATGGATTGCGGTTTGTAGGACCGCACAATTTTTATATAGCTGTAGAAACTTACTCTTTCCTCGGCACCCGAGATACCGCTGCAGATTGGTCGCAGCGGCTTCCACAAGTCTCCCGTAGACACATCGCTGGAATGTTTCGATTTTGGTTGTTTGCAAACGAAATTCTTCGGATCAAGCGGTACTGTCGTCGCGCCAACAGTTCGTCTCTTGTCGTAAACTTTCCTTTCCGTGATCGTAGATTCCGCGTTCTTGTCAGAACCTTTGCTAAAGAATTGACTGAGAAGCTTGGACTTGCCGGACTCCTGATTATCGGAAGAACCACCCTGGCCTTCCTTCTTCTTCCCTTTTTCACCCTTCTTCGGTGATTCCTTAGTAGGCGACGTCTTCTCTTTATCCGAATCTTTCTTTTCTGTCGCTATCAGAGGTTTGTCTTCGAGAACCGCGTAAAGAGTCGCGACGATGAATCTGGATCCGTTAATCTCCTCCTCGACAACCTTGGATTTGCCGAACTTTTGCTTGGTTTCTTTACGCAAAGGAAAGGTGAATTCCTCGTTCCATTGCGGCCAAGATTCATTCTTCGAGGTAGTCTCGAACTTTTCCTTGCCAGGAATTAGTTTTACCTAAAATGAAAATTATCATCATCTTATTTATGATTTATTGTGCGAGTTTTTTTTTAGAGAAAAAGTAAACGAAAGAAGAAATGTAAAAGAAGAAATAAGCAAAATTAATAAGATGACAAGCAGCAAATTTAAAACTCCGTAGAATATTTTTATTTAAGTTTATTTTTTAACGCATTCCGAAATACATTATTTGATTCTTTGCATTATAAAATATCTATTTTGAATTGATATATTTGAACTGCACGAAAAATTTTACTTATAATCAAATTTTTTTGAAAAAAAAAATTTTTTTTCTTATTTTCTCATTTTTTCCCATTTTTGTTGAAGTCAAAAATTATTCTGACATTATTAATACACTCCGATGTTAAATATGTTAAATGTGTGAAAATATCGAATCAAATTTTGCACAGATGTCTGCAATACATTGTTCTATTCTCGCGGCGATGCTAGAGGAAGTGTTAAAGAACACTCGCCAGTCAATAAGATACTATAGTCACTGCCAGACTTCTACAATATGATATACTCCCGTGATATTACGTAATCATAGATAACACCCAAGAGTGCTGCGAGCGTCTCTGCCTTATGAGTAATTCTGACTTCAGCACGGCGAAGCGTAACGGTGCCGCGATCTTTCAGTGTGCACAAAAGTGTTGTCCATCGGTTCAACATTTTCGACGTACATTTAACACGACGAAAAAACGTGATTGTTTCATATTGCGTTTAATTTGTGTAGATAAAATCAATGATTACGGAATAAATTTAATATGTATAATTATTGCATATGTATAATTTTTACATTGACTAGATTTGTATAAATTTAAAAAGATAGAAATACGATTTAACGCGTAAAAAATACGAGCCGTCGATAAAACGTATGCGCCTTTTGTTTGTTCGACTTGCGATCGATCCACATTCTTCGATTCGTGTTTACTCTACCTTTACGACGTAGCTGTTGACTCTGGTAAAACCAAAGTTCTGCGGCAAGTGTCTGGCACCGAGCACTGTGACGTAGAGCGCCTTGTTGTTCGGCGAATGTACGATTCTAATGCCGACTTCCGGCTCCAGATTCACCGTGCGGTCCATCGGCGTGGACACCGTCTTCAAGCCGTTGTCAATAAAGTTCTTGAGCTTTGCCAGTGCCATTTTCGCACGATTGTCTTCTCACGGTCTCCTCTCGGAATACCAATTACGGCTTATCGGCGAACGAATGATTGTGTAGATAACGGTTGATCACCGCGGACTGGGTAGTGTTGTCTGCGAGCGCTGCAAAATTCTGTCGTGAGTGGTTTACGGCGATGAGTTTGAACGCAAATGTTGTCGTAAAGGTGCGCTATTAATATACACAAGTATATAATACGGTGCTCGCTCGCGATCGTCTGGATTTTCGAAACGGTGCAAGAGTTGCATTAGCTAGTCGGCGACGAGAATTTTCCGTGAATAATCATTGATTAGTGACAAAAACACATTTTCTTCTATTTTTATCATCATCTCTATCAAAGTGATAACATTATTAAAACGTTAATGTACCAATCTGTTTTGTGATTACTTTAATGCTTTGTTAGCTGTACTTATCATTCTTGATTTATAGGAACTCTTTTCTTATCTGTGAAATAAAAAATCTCATTTTATACCAACTACACAGTGTACAAGATAACACTTAGTATTTAAAAAAGAAAATAAATTGCTTCATAAATTTGTAGAAGACTGATTTACTGTTATTCCGTTCACGAGAGCACGTTGCCACGTTCCAGGCGATTTTCTTGACCTGAACGAATCTCTCCTGATCGTAAAGTTCTTCGATCATAAACAGCGTACTTTCTCTCATTGAACAATACGATATTTCTCATCAACGAGGTGATTATCAGCTGTTATGGCTCGGCAACAGAGCCCCGGCCTTTTCGCTCCCGGCGTAAAAAACTGCGTTCGTGTCCGAGAAACGAGCTAACTATCATACTTTCCCCACGAGGAAAAAAATGATGTGCCTCGTCGTGACCACGCCGTCGATTGATCTCGATTGTGCGACCCGCTATGCAGCAACCGTGGAATACCGCGCAGAAAATTACATTTAACGTCGAGACTGAGCGGTATCGGCCTCGATTATCGCGGCATTAACTAATGAGAATTGATGCGTCAAATATAATAGATGCCCGGCATCTCCCATCTTCTTAATAGAGACTTCAACGCTCGGTACGTTGAGAGCAAGAGAAAATATTTTTCATCTCGTTAGCAAGATACTTTATTATTCCGTTCACGAGTGTTTTTGGAGCAGGTTGTTCAAATCAAAGCAATAGTGAATAATTGCAACGCTAGCAGAACGTTTTTTTATGATCAGTTAATGCAATTGCGCTTGTTAGAAGCATCCGGAAATAATCAGTTATAATGTTCACATCTAACTCGGAGTAAGTACGCGCGATTTCGAATGATGGGAAAAAACATACAACCGCATCTCTCTGTTAAATGCGCCAGATTGCTCGTTTCATACGTGAGCCGTAACACAATGTCGGAGTTAATTGTCAGTTAAGGAGGGTTCGAACTACGTGCACTCTGTGAGAGAAGCGAAACCTGCACATACCATAATCGCGATTCTGCCAATTTGGAGCAAGTTGCTCCGGAGCAGCTGCTCCCAGCGGCGATCGCTATCTCGAACGAGAAGGATCGTTACTATTCGGCGACGAGCAACGTCTGGATGCGTGACTGGCGACGTCTCGAGAGATCCTCGGCAACGATTGTTTTCGTCGACAGCCAATGTTGTCAGACGCTCGACGGTTCCATGGTCACCGGAACGATCGAAACGCAAACACGCATCACCACTGATCGCCACGAGGAGTTCACCGAGAATTTTCACCTCTTGCACTCTGCTCGCAATGCAATTCACCGACGCATCGCCGCTACGTCATCGCGACGATCAACGGAATTTATGAGGCCCTCATGAATGACTTTATAAGCGATTGCGCGCGTGCGATCGTCGTTGTAGTCCACTTCGTTTGCGCGCGACGCGCCGCCGTGGTATGCAGCTTACGTTCTCGCGTGGGTTCCCTTTATAACAGACCAACGCAGCCGGTTTACAGTAACGGACGATAGTCAGTTTCCGATGGGCACTGTTATGATCTGAAATCGTGTGCGAAACATACAATATTTGCCAAAGAACTATCTCTTGTATACGCAAATCACGTGTGTCACATATGTATGATTTAATTAGAAGTTTTAAGAGTTTTTTATCTTTTTTATATTTTTCATTATTCAATTTTTAGCACAAAATATACATACATATTATAATTCTGCATAATATATTTAACATATAATTAAATCTGTTATAAGCATATCAGAAATTTAATTCTTTTTAGATTAAAAAAAAATTTTTAAACGTATAAATTAATCAAGCGATCAATATTTGTACCTACAGTACTGTCACAAAAGTGACCGTTGCGGCTAAAGTAGGGGATTGTGTATCAGGCTGTAGAATTGTGGTTGTGGAATGACGCCTGTTGCGCTCGCAAGGTCGTACATTCATATTACACGACCTGCAAACGTATCAGTGCGTAAACGTGCACGAACTACTACCATTGAGTAAACACAACTACATGAATAAGAGTATACGGAAACAGGACCGTGAACTGCCGCACTTCTCCCTGTTCAAACTATCAACAGGAAAGAAAAGATAATAAGAAGTGAAAACTGATAAAAGATTGGAAATATTGAAGTTAACGTGAAGTTGTGACAATGTAGCATAGAAATGTCTTTTTGTAAAAAAGTACAAAATTTAATTAACGATAAGTTTATAAAATTTATGTATAAAATAGAAACTGATGTCTTGAAAGCGATAGACAAGCGCAAACAAATTTTCACATTTTGTGAATTTGCGATAAAGAGTAATATAATCGGAATGACAAGCTTTTGTTATCTAAATAAAAACTCGTGATAAGGAGAGCGAATTGGCGAATTGTAGAGAATATGCGCTACGTAACAAAAGCTTATATATCTTGATGCGTAGAAAAACTAATTGTAATTTCACACGATAATCTCATGTAAGCAGCTCGAAAGAATGCGGTAGAGAATATCGCGTTGCATAAAAAATGAATTGCGACAGTCGCATTGTAATATGTATGTTAAATGTGTCGCAATTAAACATTCCTATATCTGAATGTCATATGTTAAATAATTTATACAGAAATGTTTAATTTATTTAAATAATTTGCGCCAAATTTTAGTTTAATTAGCATTTAGTTAAAAGTTTATCTGTAGTTTAATTTTTAATTTCCTCTGTTTCAGGTTGAGATGGAATATGAAAATAAAGAACATTAACTGGTAAGGAGATGTTTTTTTTAAATTTTTCTAGTTTACACATTTTTCTCGCTCATGCATTCTTAATAGATGATAAATTTTTTTGCTAAGCGTACTCATGCGGACGCTTGCGTTGTTTCAAACGCATATTTAAATACGCGTGCTGAATGATGCTCTCCACGTATTTAAATGTATTGATCACACGTGATGATATGCAAGGATAGCTCTATTGTGGCCTTCAAAATTAATTAGTTTGTCATTAGTCACTACGATTATATTACATTACATCCATAAAAAGTGAATCTTCCAATTTATTATCATGTAGACACATATCTCTATAGAAACACGATTTAGAGATACGTGAACCATCCTGTACTTGATTAGATTATTTATGATACAAGAATAGATAACATGTTGCATATTGCAAACATTAATTACAAAATAAAAATGGAAAATATTAATTATTTAGCATTGAGAGGTAAAAATTGCCAAAAGTTATTCGATAGGTGGCAGAAACTGATATTTTCTACGGAAGTTAAGCAGTAGACGAGGGGGATGAAAGCAGCTGTGTACAATTCGCGATAGATGGCAATAACGGCAGCTAACCCCTTTCTTCTTGCCAAACTACCCCTATAGTTTACGAACAGCTGTTTAGCACCGCCATGGCGCACGCGATGTCGGGACGTCAAAAACACTTTGAACGATTTCGATTTATCCGTGCCGAAAAGATCTTCCCGCGTCGCGACACGACGTATCGCATCATTAACTTTCGATCGTAGAGCGTGTACTTCGCGAGGGTGTTTCGGGCTGTGCAAATTGCATGTTCGCGAGTGATATCAAAGTGACGCTTCAGAAAATATTCGGTGCAAATCTCGATTCCTACCAGGTATGAATTTATTTTTTTATTTATTCCTTAATGTTTCGAGATATATATTAGATAGTTGCAAAAATTGGCATTGCATAATTTTTAGCAAGATTATCTAACAGAAAAATAAAAAATTATCAAAAGTGGATTATGCAGGAGTAGCAAAGAGGATATGATGACACAATGTAATAAAAAATACGACATATATTACTCTTTAATTAATTATTTCTGCAAATATTAAAACTTTTCATATGGCAAGTACGATATATCTTTTTAATATTATGTTTATTGCGGAATATTATATAAATAAATAAAATGTATTAAATTATATTAAAAAGAAGTAATTTATAGTTCATAAATATTTAATAGGCCTTAATTGTTTTATTAAAACATTACTTATTCGAGAAATCTGTGAAATAAATCATTTTTGTCCAAGATATTATAAAATTAATATTTTATTATATACATATATTAAATAGGTTATAAAAAAATAGAAGAATTTACTTAAATTTTATAGTGATAACTAATCTAAGTTGTTATAAAGTACTTAACATCTTGATCGTGAGATGGCACCACGTAGATGCACTTTGACTTAACAATATACAAACAAATTATTTTGCAAATTGTTAATATAACTTAATATTGTTTATAACTTATATCTGAAATCAGCACTGATGTTATAATAATTTCTATATTAATTTGACCCATTATATATCTTTAATATAAAATTATTTTATCGGATTCTTTTCCTTGTGTGTGAAATTTATTGAAGACAGAAAAAATGAAGATACGATTTAAAACAGAAAGACAAAAAAATTTCATTATATTAAGTATGGAATTATATGCTATAATATGTTTATGCAATGTGTAAGAACTTGAGTGTATTTACCACACCAACAAATGCAATAATCAGAATTACATAATAGACATAATTTTACATTTGTATATTATATATATATATATATATATATATATATATATATATATATTTTTTTTTTTTCAATTCCTAATTATAAACTAATATCTTAAATGCTTTTTTTTGCAAAATATTATGATAACTTGCCTAGAATTATTATAATGAAGAATAATTTAATATTTTTTTAGAATGAACCGGAAAATCATACTTTTTTTTTTACACACGTTCTTATTCAAGTCACGTTCCGACGACAAGGGTAATAGCCGTGAACTTTGTCTTCGTCAGATCAGCTTAACTTTTGGTCGTAAAATTTCACGAAATTCTAGTACGGGTCTCAACGAAATATGTTTTCTGTGGTTCCTGGCATTTTTTAGCTTGATCGATCACTGTCACGTTGTTGTACGTACGTACGTTGTTGTACGTAGCAAACCAAAGATAGCGAACATTTTTCTAGTTTCTCTAAGCATTATATTACATTGATTAATTCATATGATGACAAATATAATCTTATAGCAAAGTAAAAGTAATTTTGAAAGAAGAGCAATTAAAAAAATGTTTTAATACATTTTTTAAAATATCTGCGAAACTTTGTATTTTCTTGAATGTAAATCACTGATATATCCACCATTACAGAATTGCATGATATCCAATATGCGATGCCACGATGAGACTACAAGAAAAAACCGATATAACGAAATCACATTATGCGCCAGTAATTCGCACCACATTACGACGAATGGAGCACGTGTCTGAGGCTTTTCCACATCGCGAGATTCATGAATGCAAATACTCCGGGAATGAAGAGTCACGCGCGCTCTTTACATCATTCACTTTTCTCATATTCGTTCGGCGTTGTTTTTTTTTCCAATCTTACCGCTAACCCTTTTCACCTTTGTTCTCTTTGTCACGTTATCTTGCTCATCTCCGTGCGGGTTAAGCTTTAACTTTGAACGTATTCTGACATGCACTATTCATTTTGGCGTTTATGACTTAATAAACGCAACTCTCCGCGCCTTCCGTCATCGACAACGATTCATGCTTTCTCCCTCGGTAAATCTCCGGCGTACGCCTTATTATAAACTCTTTCGCACGGCACAATTTAAAAGTATAGCTTGCAACTTCGCCCTTCGAAGCTTCGTATTAAGCTTGCACTTTGAAAGTAGCACCTCGGTAACCGATGGAAGTATCGCCGAAGTTCAGCTAATCGTTTCTCATCGCGGACGCTGATAAATTATTCAATTATAACGTCTGAACGAACAGTTTCAAAGTAAGAGGAAAAGAAAAATGCAGTACATACTCTGACGGTATTTGAGCACTTTTCTCAGCATCGGATTAGTATCGCGTCGGTAGCAGCGGAGATTAAAGTCAGATTTCGAAATACTCCGTAATTCTCTGTACGTATTTCTCGCACGTAGTCGCACCTTGATATATTTAACCTCCCTTTGACCCTGCGCACCCTTTTAAGTGCATCATTACGTATTCTCTTTTGTAACGCCGGACTTTATGCAGACCACATTCGCAGCACCTTCCTATTCTTGATCATATCGCACGTTGGCTGCGCAAGGTGATAATTTCGCCCTTATTACAAATGCCTTCTATTAATGAAATGTACGTGATAATATAATATATATAAATCATAAATCAGTGATCTATTCAAGTTCCAATAATTTTTTACTAAAAGTGATAAAACATTTTTTTATTATAATAATCTATGAATATCATCTACGAATAGTAACAAAAAAAACGTAACAAACAAGCAAATTATTACAGCTGTGGAAAATTATTTATGCTTGCTCTAATTTTGTTGATCTGCAATAAATTAAGACAAATTATTTTTAATTATAAGAATTTATTGATTTATTATGTAAATATTTTATCATGTCAATAATTTATTATGCCTGACTTTCGATAATATTTAAATTTTTTAACAGATTTTTACTAATAGCACGGCGAATTTTAGTTAACCGGAG